CCATAGGTATAACACTTCATTTGGATATGTGTACGATTTATGGTGATTTTTCAAAGTTAGGGTTTGAAATCTGGAAACAGTGTTGAACTTTTGGAAGAGTTTCGAGTTCCGTACAGTTCCGGTACTGTTAGGTGTAGAATTGGTTCCTGAAACTATTTTTCCCTTAAATTTAACTTAAGGAGCTTTCAGTGAGACTTGGAACCACTCAATTTGGATTTTTCTAGAATTAATTATGAATTTTCAAAGTTGAGTAAAAATTCTGGAAATTCTGCATGAACAGTACCCGCGAAGCAAAATTTCCAGATTTGGTATTCTTGAATCTAAGGCCATCTAAAGTGGTCCTAATTGACAAGAAATGGATCTTAAGGATGGGAAATGATAAGATTTATATTAGAAAAGTTAGAAAGAAAACCCTAAGACTAAGAGAAAGGGTTGAGGTTCAAGAAAGCTAGTCTTGAACTTTATGTAATCTAATAGTCCTAATAGATTGTATGATCAATGTGACTATGTTTAGGACCTTTGAAACATCCAAGAGGATGTTTGGCGATGTTGACCGAATGTCCACATGGTTGGAAAGACCAGGGAATCACACGAAAAGCAAGGGGAAAGCCATGTTACAAGATAGTGAACTTACCTATACTGTGTGCTTGATATGTATGCTTGCATGATGTGATTGTGTTGCCATGATGTGACTAAGCTATGATGAAATGTTTGCAAAGTTATGTTTACAAGTTTATGTTATGTTTTGCCTTGGCAATATGTTATGGAAGCATGAAATGCTTTAGCTTACTTTCCATGGCATTCATGTGTTAATGTTATAACATGTCATGCATGTGCATTATGTCTTGCATGCTTATGGGTAGTGTTTGCTACTGAGATTCTTCTGAATCTCACCCCTCCCTAACCAACCATTTAGGTCAATCAATGATGGGCAATAATGGCATGAGAAGCAAGGAGAAGTAAGCGGAGAATTATTCTTGTTAATGGATGAGACTGTTGATGAATGTATAATTCTCCTATTATATAATTTATGTTATGGATGCCTATGATGCCATGTATTTAATTGTAATGTTTACGGCATGAATGAAAATGTATGAGAATGAATGGGAAAGAGTAATCCCAAGTTATGTATGTCAAAGAAATAAAAAGAATTATAGTAAAGAGATGTTAAGGGATAAAACGTAGGTCCTGGAGTAGTGAGTTTGTAGCTCCAGTTTGACCTATCAAACGAGTGAGTTAGGTCATAAGATTTGGCAAGCAATGAGATCTGATGTTTCTCTTTAAAGTGAAGGATAGTTTGCCCGATTCCAATAACTGAGCAGAAAGTTATGCCTTTCCAAAGTTAGGCAAAAATACAGTAAAATTCGAAAATGACCAAATGAACAGTAACTTTTTCAAAGGAAATTGAGCTCGAATTTCAAGGCAATCAGTTCAGAAACTATTTTTCCTCAAAATTTTATCCAAAGAGCTTTCTGTAGAACTTGGAATCACTCAATTTTGATTTTTCTACAATTAGTTATAACTTTTCGAAGTTTGTCACATTTTAAGGTGACAATGAATAGTAACCCGTAAATGAAAATTTTCAAAGTTGATTTTTCATCAATTGTAGCCTTCAAAAGTGATTCCAAATGCTTCCGCAAGGAAAGTTAATTGATTTAAACATGAGGTGTTACAGTCATAGTTCTTTCCAACATTCATCACTGATGTTAAGTCTTGGGAGACTATCGTATAGTATTTTCTGCTCTTTGGATAAGTTAGGAGCTGCTTCTTCTTCCTCCAACCAATCATTCATGAGCTTATCCAAATCCCGTACTTGTACTAGGGTTTCTTCCTTCCCCATTAGTTTAGCTTTGTAAGAAATTTTGGGATTTTCCACTGTTTTTGATCTCTGGTTTTGACCCCTGTGCTCCACCATCACCACTGAGAGATGCTCTGTTTTCTTGGTTCTACGAAGGTTTTGGCATCCTCACTTCCGGTTTCTCTCCATTCGCATCAACATTCATTTTATCTCCCTCCATTTTCTTAATATTGCATCCCTTAATCTCATCCTCCTCCTTAGTTGATTCAGAAGTGCCCCTCGGTTGCTCGCCATGCTCGAAGGAATCACTTGGTTGCATACCGTTTCTCTCCCTACGTTTCTCACTCATCGTTCTCATAGATTTTGATTTATGGAATTTGATTTGTGGTTTAGAAATTTTGAAAGTATTTTCTTTGGTCATTTACCCAAAACAAAAAGATAAATTAAAAAAATATTTCAAATTGCATTATTTGCGATAGTTATTTTTTTTGGGTTAAAGTGCAAATATGCTCGTCAACTTTCTACCTCAAAGCGACTTTCATGAGTGCAAATTTTGCCCCATCAATGCATTATTTTTTTTTTGGCAATTATCATTACTGTAAAAAACCCTCTACCTTCAAGACATTTTAACCCATCACAAAACCTCTACTATGGTAGAAAAGGAAAGCTGTTAATACGAGCTACCATAGTAGAAGGAAAAATTCATATTTTTAGAAATTGACTTTCAAACTCGGGTCAACCCGATAGACGTTGCATGCAACTATAATAATCCATTCATATCTACTGGGCCTCCGAGCCTCCGGCCCGGGTAAACACATACATCAAAATCAGCCCATCCAATTCGTTTTCAACCATATAACAAAGTTCCATAAAATAATGGCAATGGCCTCCGGCCAACAAAACGAGTAGATAATGTATTCTCCAATTTACAATAAGGCCGGGAATCAAAATATTTCAAGAAAACCCTAGCTGTGGCAATATACAACTATCCATACATAAATAAAGCTAGAGGCCTAAAGCTAACCAAGCTCAAGCCTCCGCGTCTCTTCCCGAAAGCCCACGCCTAGAACCTTCACCTGAAAACATTGTAAACCACGGGGTGAGACAAAGTCCCAGTAACCAGCCTTTCCAATACTAGGTACTACTAAATAGGTGCTCGTGAGGTGTCAAGTGGGGCAGTTCACAAATCATATATATATACATTGATAGCCACAACAATTTATGCAAGTGAAATGATGCAATCCCATCAACCAAATCCCTCACTTTGGGGGATTTTCAGGAGCCGAACCCGGCCTATCCCTCACTATGGGGGACGTAAGGAGCCATAAAGGCCTATCCCTCACTCTGGGGGACGTAATGAGCCCGAAGGCCTATCCCTCACTATGGGGGACGTAAAGAGCCAACCATCATGCATTAATGGAGGCCTTACCACGTGGTAGTAACTATCGAACTCTCACCAAATTTCCCAAGTAATGCATCATGCTCAAATCATAATCAAGAGTAATAATCATTTCACAATTAACCTCATTCAGTGGCATATCTTTCACAATTCCGCAAATTCATTCATCATAAATCCAAACCCCACAAGACGGTTTTCCATTTTTTATATACAACATATAGTTCGAACACAATTACTAATTGGAGCACAAAACACAAATCTACTCACAATACCACAAAAGCAAGTACTAAGGATTGGAAAGTGGTTACCTCTCGCCTGAGCAAGGAATAACAACCAACAAAGTGGCCCCGCGCACCACCAAGACTCACAACCGGTCTACACAAGCACACAAACACACAACCAACATATATTAGCTCTCAAACTAATAATGTGGCCAAAACAACACTTGGGGACACAAAATTCCTATCTCCCATCAAAACTCTACCCAACTCAAGGGGTATATCTATCAAAACAACACTCCAAAGTCCTCAAAGTCTATTAAAACATCAAGTCTCCTTCCAAGCATCAATTAGAGTTCAAACCTCAAGGACCCACTATAGGAATTCAACCTCCAACAACCCATTTGAGCAATTAAGGTTCCAACAACAAATTCTAAACCGATTAAACATCCAATTTAACCCTCCTTAACATAACCCAATTCACAAAACTCAAAATCAATCTCTACATTATCATCCTCAATCCCAAATCATCCAATTCCATAAACCCTAACTCCAAAATTCAAGATTCTTTAAATCCAAGGAAACTACACCGATTAAATACTTAAACTAACCCAATGCAATCAATTAAACTCAAAACAATCGGTCAAAAACCTCAATTCCATCACAACCTAGAAATTCCTAGGGTTCCACCAAAAATCCTCATAAATTCCATGGAATTTCAAGAAAGAAAGAAGATTAGAGGTTAAAATCACTTACTTGAGGTAATGGATCCTTAGAAATGTCTTTCCCAAGCCTTAAAACAGAAACCCTAGCAGAGCTCCTCTCTCCTCCTTCAGATTTTCCAATTTTCGCACATCTGAACCCTCCAGCGATTATATAGAATCGCGACCTTTCGCCGCGGCGAACTCCATCTTCGCCGCGGCGAACTAATCCCGAGAGGAATTACTCGCCTGAAAAACCGACTTCGCCGCGGCGAACCCCAATCTTCGCCGCGGCGAAAGCTTCCCGAGAGGAAACTCTCGCTCGCCCAGACAACCTTCGCCGCGGCATACCCTACCTTCGCCGCGGCGAAACCTTCCCGAGAGGGAAGCCTCGCTCACCTGAACAACTTCGCCGCGGCCAAACCTGCCCGAAAGACATAGCCTACTAGGAACTCCCGGTTCGCCGCGGCGAAGTTTACATACCCTGAGAGGGGTACGTTCACCTATTCCTCCAACAAACCTCAAATCCAACCCAAACACCAAGATCAAGATTAAATCACTAATCTATCCTCAAAATCAACCCAAAGGATGCCATTAAAACCCGATCAAACTTAGGATGTTACAATTACAGTATTTTAACATTAATGTTATTTTTTTGATAATAAGAAAAAATTCTTACAATTTTAAATTGAGAAAATCCTAAGATAATTACGGTTGAATTTCAAAATTTTAAATAAGAAATTACTGTAAAACTATGTTATTATTTACTTTTCAAGTGTAATCATTTTCTTTACGAGAATAATAATCAATACTAATTTGAAATTTTAGAATTTAACAGTTATTTTTTTTAATTTCTAAAATAAATTTACAATTGAGAGGGGAAAAAAAAACTTTATCAACCGAAGTCACCCGATGTACCCACCATGGCACCAATGCGTTGGGAGCATGGATCTATCCGACATCCAGCTGCCCCGGAAATTCTCGGCATCGTGGCAATTCAAGCTTCTGCGTCTGCGTCTGCGCCTCCTCTTTCTTCTTCTAGGGTTGTCAGTATGGCCTCCGATCAACATTACATTCCCATGTTTTAAAATCAAGTTCAGGTTTCGATCAATCTTCCCGACTTTTTTGTAATTACAAAACAATGGCCACCACATTGAAGACAATCTCTGCCGCTCTCAAACTCATCGACACAAAGAAGGATAACCTCAGGAAGGCCTATGATGATCTCCATGCTCACTCACAGCTCCTCTCTTCCTTCTCCCTCTCATGGTCTGAAATCGATTCTCACTTCACTTCTATCCAGAATTCTCTTACTCAACGTTTTCATCTCCTCGAGTCCCTCGAATGCCAGGGTAGCCAACCTAGTTCATCAACTTCACCCATTCCCATGCCTGCGCAGAATCCAAATGACCCGACCCAGACCACCAAAGATCCGTTACCGTCATCTTCACGGCCGTCAAGTCAAAATCAAAAGCTCCCTGTTGATCCATCTGCATCGCCGAATCCACCGAATCAAAATGGAGCAAATGTTGTACCCAAAAACTTCATTGAATCGAGTTCGGTGATGCCTAGATACGAGTTGAGTACTCTGTGCGAGAAGATGGATGGAAAGGGGTTGAGGCAGTATGTTATTGTTCATGCGAAAGAGAAGACTGCCATTCAGGCCGAGCTTCCAGGGGCCTTACGCTGTGCTCCAGACCCAGCTGCGATGGTTCTGGATTCTCTTGATGGGTTTTATGGGGTAACTGACCCAAGGGATATGGAACAACGTAAGTTTAGGAGGGCCTGCATTGTATTAATGGAACAGTTGAGGGTTTTATCTCCAAATATAGGATTCAAAGTGAGAGAACGAGCCAAGATGGTGGCCTCAGAGTGGAAAGCAAGTTTGTGGACCGATGGCGCAAAGACGTTAGAGGCATTGGGCTTTTTGCATTTTGTGGTGGCATATGGGTTGCTTTCTGAAGTCAGCATGGATGAACTTGTTGATTTCACTGCTATGGCTGCTAACAACGATGAGGTTCCCCAGCTATGCCGAACTATTGGTTTGACAGAGAAAATTCCTGGTAAGATAAGTTTCAGTTGCATTCTTGAAGAAATATGGATAATAAGCTAGAATTATGGTCGATTATTTGAACATTAGTATGCAATAGCACTGATTTATGGATGTGTATGTTGACGTTGGAATATTAGTTTTCCTGATCAATGGTCTCTGCATGAGACACGGGGTCTGATTAGTATATGAGATTTTAAGTATGGCAGCGGGTGTGTTAAAAGAGGAAATACAAAAAATGTGTAGGTGGGCGCGGCGGGGAGGCGGTGAAAACATTGGTTAGCATTGTACTCCTTCTGTTTATTTTTATAAGAGACAACTGGTTAAAATTAGTTAAGAGACAATAAATATGTTAAAATGTAACTTTTCGGCACAAAATACCCTCATTCATGTGAGAATTAAATAGAATGACATGGGTAATATGAGTAATTGAAGGGGTTGAAATGGGAAATCACCAAACAAAATTTGAGACAACTTCTAAATGTTTCTTATGAAAAGGAACATATCATACTTCACAATTGTCTTTTGTAAAAAAGGACGGAGGGAGTATCATCTAAAGGTGCTGTAATATATTATGAGCTTGAAAAGTTCTGTCACCATTGGTTATTTTTTCTCTTTAAAATTTTCCCATTTACAAGCATAACATTTTGTGAAGCGCTTTTCTATGTTGATAAAGTGTTGGTGTAATAAGTGGTGTCATTTTTTCTTACTTTTATTGGAAAGGCAATTATCATTTCAATTATACAGATCTTGTTCAGAAACTTGTTGATAAGGGCAAGCATGTTTTGGCTGTCAAGTATATCTTTGAGTTTAGTCTTGCTGAGAAGATCCCACCAGTTCCCATCCTGAAAGCTTGTGTGGACGAGGCTAATAAACTTGCTAAAAGACTTCTCCAGGAAGGGAAATCACTGGTATGTAGGTCTCCTGATTGGTGTCTCAAACAGGGGGTCAACTGAGTCATTCCAATATTTATTGATCCATTTTTGCAGAATGAGGCCACAGCAAGAGAAACTCATGCTCTGAAATCAGTAATAAAGGTTATTGAGAGTCATAACCTTGAATCTCAATATCCACCGGCAATCCTTGAGCAGCAAATAGTGCAACTGAACATGCAGAAGGCAGATAGGAAACGTGCTCCACCACCTTCTGTAAAGCCTCCTCCTGAGTCTAAGCCTCAACAGCAGCAAAAGACAAAGAAGCAGAAGCAGCAGCAGCAAATTGGAAAGAAGCACCCTCATCCTCAGACATCAGCCCAACTTGGTCCTATGGCTGTCCAGAAGATTGTTTCTGTTGCCAATTCAGCATTGCACCAGTACCAACAGCCTCTGGTCCAACCTACAGGTTTGTTGCCAGAACAATTGAATTCATACATGAGCTCACAAGCTGTGCCATATGGAATGGTGGGTCAAACCTCCACCGTTTCTCCCTATACAGGTCCTTCTGTTGGGCCTTACGGTTTTGCTGGTGTCCCAATGGGGTCCAGTGGCAATCCAACTCCAGGTGGTTCACACCTATATTCAGAGCCAAATTTGCAGTCTGCATATTATGACAGAACCACTACTTATAGTGGTTATGGTCTTCAACAATATTACCAGTCTCTCTATCCTCAATAGTTCAGGGATTTGCTTCTAATTGCACTGAACTCTTGGGGTGGTATTACAGTCTCTTTCTGACTTTGCACTGCTGGTGTCTGGTTACCAGTATCACCGTGATCAAAAGACAGGAATTAGATTCAGTAATTAAGAATTGTGAGGGAATGCATAGTTTCACAATTTTGATTACTTGAATCAGTTTGTATCTAGTAGATTACTTTTAAGTTATGGTCTGCCAAACTTCTCTGCTCTTTTCTGAATGGAAATTGGCGCTAGGATTTTAAAAGTAAGAGCTCCATGGATAGAACCATTTTATATTTATATTAGCTAGTTTTGCTTGAGAATCACTTACCAAGTGAGTCTCCCGCTGGCTCACTGTAACATATATTTTCATCAGCAAGGCCAAAAGTATAAAAAGATCATTTTGTTTAAAGGCTAGCAAGGGTAGAACTTTGTCAAAATTTCTATCTATGCTCGAAGCTACCTGAATGTTGCTTCCCTTTATTCTTGACTTCCTTTGGTTGTCTCTGCCTTTAAACATAGGTTACCTTTATATTTTCCTCCTTTGACATCAAATTCCCAAAAGAAATATGGTAATTTGTTTCCTATAACACGAGACCTTTCATTTTGTGTATTATATGTTCCTTTCAGCTTGGTATTCCCACTTCTCTCTCATTCTTATGCACCTTGTCTATCTGAGGATGGCAAAGGTGTTCTTTTGTGCTGCTTGCTTGCTTGCTGTCCTCTCATGAAGTTGTCTTTCTTCTCTCACCATCTCTCTGTCTCTCTCTATTACTGGTCATGTTTGCTTGGAATGCTCCTAATTTTGGACTGGGATTTTTATTGAATTGAAAAAAGAAATGTGCTTTTTTCCATTTGAGTTTGTGTGGCATAAATTTTTCCTTTGCTATAATTTTCTGTCTTAGAATTTGACATTGTAAATGATTATTTTATCCATAATTATGTCGAGATTTTTTTATTTAAAAAGATTTGACCAGCATTTTTATGTCAAGATTCTCGGCTTTGACAGTGAAGCATGATTGATATAGGTTATGTTTAGTTCTGTAATTATCAACTTTATCTGGGAGTATGATGGGTACTCAAGTAGGATAGAGTGCTCTCCCTTAAAAGTTAAGTTGGATAACTAACCTACTTAAGTACTTCATAGGGTTGCCTATACTACTCAATGTGAGGCTAAGGAATCCATATTACCCTGTTCTCAATTGATGTGCGTAGAACTGGGGTAAAAAATTGGAGCTGTAGCAAGAATAAAGGGAGAGGTGGAAGAAGATATATAAGGAGGAAAGAGATGGCTTACAGGCCAAGAAAGTTTTTATTAACTATTGATCAAAGAAGGTTCCCTAACCTAAATTTCTTAGGGCTTTGGATGGAGCCCAAAAGATAATATTTTTAAAATGAGATATGCTAATTACTAATCCTGACAACACATTACAATCCTAACAAAACCAATTAAACAAATAAAATTCTAGCAAGATAAGATATAACAATTTAAATAACATAAAATGTATTAAGATATTAAAATTATATTGTAATTATATTTAATTAATTGAAATGCCCTTTATCTCATATAAATCTTATTTTTGATAATATTTATAGTAATCCTTAATTTATGAATAATTAGTATTTTCTTATCTTTTTTCATCATATGTTGCCCAAAGCTGACTGTGAGGGTGCCTCAACCTGAACATCTCAGTGCACCCATACTACTCAATGTGTCATTGTGGGAATGTGAGTAAGCAATACGTATTTCTGTCTCAGATTATGTTATCACAATGCATGCAACAATCGGGTTGTCAACGTAGAACATGGATACTTTTCACTCGTGGCTTCTGAGTGATGAGCAGAACTAACTCAAATTGAAAGACCTGCTTTTTTAGACATAGACGGTGACTGATGAAACGTCATAACCCCTTGTAGTGTCTGTTGGTTCATGCTATCAATCGTTTGTTCTTTAATAGCTGTTATCCCATTCAAGTATAACTTTGTTCGTAGGTGAATTTCATGGGGCAATTTGGATTTCTAGAGTCAGCAATTGAGTCGCATTTTGCTTGAAGTTGTTTTTCCATCACCCCATTATGGGCTTCTATATATGTATTCCTTTTTGGAGTAAGCTATTCTGATTTTACTATCACACTTATTATTGATAATGCTTCAAAACAGCAATAACCAACAGAGATTGGTCTCCATAGATGATCCTATTCCTGTGTCTATTGATGCCCCTACATGGAAATGATCACTTCTTGGATGAAGTTAGATCAGGACATCAGGCCTCTTTATCACTCAACTTCCACACTTTTTTGCATTGGTTTAAACCACTAGAATGTTGTAAGATTGTTCTAGCAGTCACTTCAGAGGCACTGGAACACAGTTTACCACCATACCTTTGTATCCAAATGTAGTTTCAAAGTTTTTGGATTTTGTGTGCCTCAAGGTTTAATGTTTCACCTAGGAGTCGGGGGTTACAACAGAAGAGCAAAACTGAAGCTTGAGTCATTTGATGTTTCCAAATTTGTTACCTAGCATTACCATGAAAAACTTACATGGTCTGCTGATATACGATTTTATAGCCTCGTTTAAACAGCAAATCTGCCGGACCTACACCTGATCATGTCATCATATTAGCTTCACTGCATTTTCTATGCAGGTGGATAGTAAATCATGATTGGGTAATACAATTTTTTTATTAGGGGCCACCCCCATTTTTGGTCATTGTGAGTGTTGTGAGGTGCCATTGAACCAAGAGTTTCTTAAAGGGGAGTTTGGCATTCCATATAAGCACTAAAAAAAAGTTTCATGTAAGTTGAAACAAAATTCTTCTCACATAGTTACCTTGAACTCCATAAAATCATTTCTGAAAGGCTAATCCAAACACCGCTTACAAATTGATTTAATATGTGGAAACATCTGAGTGTGCATGTGTGCTGCTGATACTTAACTTCTTAGATGTTTAAGTAGCTGTCTGTTTGGTTCAGTTTACTTATCTTAGTAGAACAGGTGATAGAAGTTCATATTACTGCTTAGAGCAGTCTGATTCTATGCCAGTCTTCTGATAGACATGACCACTCCCGGAGTTTTTCTTCATTTATTATTCTCTGGCATCTGGAATCTCCTTTCATGGGCTCTAACCAGAGAAATTTACTGGCTCTGTACATGCTTCGTCGGCTCATGATTTTTCTTTCTCCTTTCCATTAATTTATGACCGTTTAGGACGGGGAAGTAGCCAAAAAATCTACTGGGAAAAATCAGTATTGTGGTCACTTAAGAGGCATCGAATTTTCACATTTTAGTTATATCCCTACTTTTATGTAGTTGGTGTCAGAGTAATAGAAAAAGATGCGACTTTGTTTCAAGATTTTATTTTTGGGATTATTACAATGAGATCTCAAAAAAAAAAAAAAACCAGTAAATAATGGCTGTTGTTGCAATCTGTTTTGTTGTCATTGGATTTGTTGAGTAATTATATTTTTTGAGACTTCACAGCAATTCTTTGTGTTTTATTTGTAGCTCATGATATCTTGTTGATGATTTGGAATGTAACAATTTAGTGTCTAAGAACTCATTTTATACTTGAAGCCAGTCTCCAACTTTCTTGCCAATTGGAAGCATAATAAATAACCCCCAGATTTTTTTTTTAAGACAAAAGCACGAGTTAAAATGATGAAGAGAGGAAAGTTTAAGGGATATAAAATTGATACCTTGAGATTATATGCATCGACTTGAAAATTTAGGAGGGTTTACCATCAAGTTTTAAAAGTAGAAGTGGCTATTTGGACATGGTTGAGAAAATTTTTATGTAATTTAGGCTTAATTTAGTTAATAATTGGCAGAGGTCCGAACTCTTTATTAGAAAATTTTCAAATAAAGACCCTGAAAAATTATAAATTGGAATTTATAATTTTTCAGGGATTAGGTTAGCAAATGTTTTATAAAAAACCAAATTAAATTATAAGTTACTATTATAATAACAAGTCTGCAACTAAAAATAATAAGTTCAAATAGGAGGGCAATTTGGTTTTTGTACATAATATTTACTAATTCATATTTAAAATTTTCTGGTTGCAATTTTTTTAAAATTTTAGAACTCAAATTGTAATTTTATATTTTTTAGGGTCTTTATTTGTGAGTTTTTCAATAAAAATTTTGGACCTCTATCAATTTTATGATGAATCTAATTTTAAAGAATGTTATTAAAATATGTTCTAATAATGTGAAAGCAAACTTGTCAACATACTCTTTCCCAAGATCATTACAGCATTACCAAGAAAAATTGACATCATTCTTATTCTTTTTAGTTGTGATTGAAAGGTGAAGCAACACTTAATTTTGGATTTCCAATGAATGAAGGAGTCAAAATATGATTACATTTAGATTGATACACTTAAATTTCCAGTCAACTATTTTAGATACGATTAGTTGGTGATGTTAAATATTAAACCAAAAAATTTACATCAAATGTTTATCCCGTGTTTTGACTAACTACTGTACTTAATGTGATTATCTTGTGTAGTTTGGTTTTAAAAAAACAAAGGAGTTATCATGAGATTGATTCAAAAGAAGAAGAACAAAAATAGAGAAATAAAAACTTGCAAGATCAAATAGGAATATCAAGATTTAAATTCTTAGATTTGATATTGAAGGTTACTATGTTCAATTAGAAGTTAATGAGGCCTAATTGGAAGTCTTGAGTCACCTTTCATTTAAACTCAAATATAAACTTTAGTTTTTACATGTATTTCTCGAGTTCATTTTTGAGTTTCATGCTTCTCCAGCACTTTATCGAGAAATCACATGATATATTATACTCTGTTCTTCATTCAGCTCTGACAAATATTCAGTATTTCTCAAATATCTCATAAACTACAAATCCGTTTAAAGTAAAGCTTGATTCATATGAAATTAGACTCAACACGGTTCATGGACACCAAGATCAACTTCGGTGAGTTTCATATGAAGGGGATATGCTGCTCGAAAAATGGTACTAAGGTTTCACGATTTGTTCTTGACTTCTAGTCATTATGGTAAAGATAACTTTGAAAACTACAACAAATTTTAGAGTGGAATTTGTCGCGTTGAAAAGTAGATTCAAAGAGCTTTCTAGCAATAGCTGATTTGTAACATTTGGAGTTGAACTAAAAGATTTTTGATCACTTAAAGTTAACCTTTATTTTGTTTGCATCAGAAGTTTTGTTACAAGATTCCTTACTCAAAAATGTTATTAAGAATCTGTCTACTTGAGTAACAACTTGAGTTAAGGACCTTTAATTGAAGGATCTGATTCAAGAGACCAATAAGCTTCTCGAGTAGTCTACTCTAAAGTTATCAAGAGAACTCACACTAAAATTATCAAGTAAAATCCTTTTCGATAAGGAACTCAAGTGATGTCTTGCTTGCAAACTTACTTTTCAATACTAAAAGTTTTCTAAAGAGATTTTCTTGATAACATTATCACTAAATCTATTTATTGATCAAGTTATTAAGAAATTCATCTCCTGATAAGCTACCCGAGTTCTTGGCTTTAATATATCTAAGTCTTCCTTTTTATTAACGATAGACTTCTTGAGAGCAATGTTTTGAAATCCCTTTACTCTAT